CCACACTGCTCTTCCTGAATCCGAGGTTCGACTATCCGACGGACCCTCCTCTCCAGGACCCCTGAATAGACCTTACCAGGGAGGCTTAAGAGCGTGACCCCCCTGTAATTGGAGCACACCCTCCGGTCCCCCTTTTTAAACAGGGGGACCACCACCCCAGTCTGCCAATCCAGGGGGACTACCCCTGATGTCCATGCGATATTGCAGAGTCGCGTGAGCCAACACAACCAGGTCCTGTGGCTGCAAAACAAGCCCAAATCATCACCCCTCCACCATCTAGGGAGGCCTGAGCCTAAAGACACCCTAAACGTGCTTCTTCTTCTTCTTCTTCTTCTTCTTCTTTTTTTGGACTGTGGGTGGAAACCAGAATCTTACCATTTAAGTCTTTTTCTAAATGAAGTCATTAACACAAACAATAAACCTGCTAATTAATGCCTCTAAGATAGAGCTTTTTGTCTATCTCTCTTTCTGAGCATTGCACAGTCTGACCTTAGGGTGAATTTCACAGAACGTTCACTCCTGACGGTTGTCAAATGTTTTTTTTTTATGAATAATCATTCCTACTATAAATTGACTGCAGTTTGATGTTGTTTGTAAATGACCATCACTTGCTTCTCTGAGGTCATTGCTGATGTCTTTCTACCTTAGCGTTGTGTTGCCACACATCTGTCTGCTCCAGAGCAGAAACCTGTCAAACGTCCCATCACACACGACGATCAGTTAAAACACGTGTCAACCTCAAGGTCCATGGGCCAAATGTGGCCCGCCACAGCATTTTATGAGGCCTGCAAAAGCTGCTTTAAAGCCAGCGTTGACCATAAACTGTATCTCCCACAATGCATGTCAATTATTTTACCTGCAAAATGACAGCGCCCCACCACCAGGTGTAGATGAACAGGGCTCATGAGTAGCAGGTGAAATTCATTATGTAAAATCTCCATTTCACTGCATTTTTGCTGGCTACCTGTGCTGTTGCCTATTTGTTCTGGGAAATGGGAGTTTCTCACTTACAAGTTGAAAATTTAAACTGGAATGCCTCTCCAGAGGGAATTCCATCAGGAAGTGTGGGTTCAGAATTCAAGATGTGAGACACTCACTCAAAGTGAGTAAAAGTCTTACTTTTAATAGTATTTCTGAATTTATTTATTTCACATTTAGTCAGTCGTACACTTAGTGTTTATACAAGCAAATATTAAAACGTTTATATGCAAGAAATACCACAGAGCTCAACTATTATTTGTAAACGGTGCTCAGCCGTWGCAATACGAGGAGGAACATGACATTAGGTGAAGTTAAACACGAAACATGGAAGTTAGTTACGGCTGGTCCTTAGAGGACCACCACAATGCTCATGTGGTCCTCGGTGAAAATGAATTTAACATCCGAGTTAATAAATCTGATCTGATCAGCAGATCATGGCCTCTGTAACCCTACTGAATTCTGAGCTGGAGTTAATTTTTCCACACATCTTTTCAGTTTGTTTTTGTTTAACAATAAAAAAAATGACATGGTAAAATCTGATGCATGTTTTAAACACTTTAGGTTAGTTTTTTTAATCATTTTGTTTAAATCTAACCTAAAGTGTTTAAAACATGCATCCTGAGAAATCAAATGCTTTATCTTTTGTCCACGACTTCCTTTACAGTGTTTTAATCCTAAATAAATCCAGTAACTGCGTGCAACAACTAAGGCCGTTCAAAGAGCCATCTGCAACAGGTAAGACGTTCTTACCCTTTCATGATCTTACTTTCAAAAATGTAGCATTCTTTTAATATTCTTTACCATCGTACACTAAAAAAGTAAATATTTTAGCGGCAACAATTCTAACACAAACTTTTCGTTAATTTAAATGTAAGARGGTAAATAAAAATAAAGAAACCCTRTTACATCAATACAGAATTTATTTTATTTTAGTTTCAGATGAATGCTTCACATTTTGTACAAAATCATTAGAAAATGCCTGACGCTCTGAAACTCCACGGCTAACCTTCTTTTGTTTAGCAGCCCCAGACACCCAACAAGCAAACCACGCAGCATCCTGGACCGGTCGGTCAGACTCAAGAGTATAATCGACAGTCAAACTTGTCCCAGAGTGTTGAGTTTTAGCGGCTGCCTTGCAACAGGGTGCATGTATATTTAGTGATGTARGGACATGAAGAGAAGGATGAAGAATGGACTTTTTATTTTACAGCTTTTCACCTCTCATCATGTTTCTTTCATGTATGGACACAGTACCACGTCAACGACACATCATTGGTTAGGATTAGTTCTTAAGATTTTTAAAAACAATAAAAGTAAAAAAAAAGAGAAAAAAAAAAAGAAAAAGATGAACCAATGACTGCAGGTCTGTGGAGCTGAAGATGGGACCGGACCCTCTGACTGGAGGGTGCAAACAAGAGTGGGGACAAAAAGGGAGGGGGTGATTTAATATTAGAATTATTACTAGATGTTCTGCTAATGTGTGTACACACACACACACGCGCACACATTTAGTCCTCTTGCCAAAAGCTTCAAAAATCTTAATGGACGCCACATTCTGCAACGCTTCATGATAGAAAGTGTCCACTCACAATTATCACTAAAAATGATTTTGTTTTTACATTAATTTAAAGAATGCACCCTTTTAAAACAGAAGAAAAAAAAGACAGAGGGGCAAGAGAGGCACTTACACAATCACTTCATTTTACACAGTGCTTGCATCTGTGTGTGTGTGTGTGTGTGTGTGTGTGTGTGTGTGTGTGTCTAGTAATAAGACACAGCTACGGTGTTATTTTTTTCTGTTTGGACCACACTCACAGGGGTTCGTTTTTACAAATGGAGCATGTTTTTCTTTTGTTTTTAGCTGTTGGCACATGTACATGCAAAGCTTCAGTTTTAACCTGCACAGGTAAACTGGGGTGGGTAGAGGAGGGAAGGAAAGGATAACAGTTTGTACGTGAACAGAGAAATAAACAGATACACTGACGGGGAGGTTGTTCAAGCCCCACCCCCTCATCCTTAAATCCAGCACCCCCCCCCACCCCACCCCATTTGGGTCTGATGTTCGATAGCAGCACCAGAGGAGCCCTCTGCACCGTCAGCCTGTCGGATCAGTCAGTCTCCAGGATGAGCGGCGGCTGCTCGTTCTCCTCCTCCAAGCGTAGGTCGCTGAGGTCTTCTTCGAGCCCCGCCCCTCCCACGGCGCCTTGCTCTTCGCAGTAACCTGGGCAACAAGTTCAACAATCAAAAGCAATACGACAAACACCTCAAGACTCGCATTAAGTTTTAGAAGGTAGATGAAATGACCACGACTGAACGGTGAGAAAACAGGTGATTATTAAAGGATAGTTCAGATCTTTTCAAGTGAGTCTTTATGGAAAGTTTATTTCTTACTTTGTTTGTTCTTGGCCCCGCTCATAGAAGTCATTTGATCAGAATTAAGCTGTTTCTCTAAATTAATTCATGTTTAGTTCATGTCTCATCTTACAACAAGCCCCCTCCGAGAACGTCATTTTATTTTACTGTTATTTAACCAGGTAAATCCCATTGAAATCTCTTTTTTTCAAGGGAGGCCTGAAGACAACCTGTTGGACATGTTCATACATGTCAACACCTTTGGACGTTTACCTGTACAAAGAGCCCTAAAAATCCATTAATTTTGCAAAAAGTCCATACAACTCGCACCCGCGGGGGGTGGGGGGTGTCAGTTGCGGACATGAAAGCTCCTGCTGCGAAGCAGGAGGAAAGGAGAGAGAAAAAAGGAACTTATTTCTAGCGGCAGAACAAGTTGGAAGATGGCTGTTTGATGTTATTGATGTTATTGTTTTTAAATCGTCCTACAGGTTCTGACATGTTAGATAAATTTGAAAATGAGGTTTTTAAAATATCCGTAAGACTTGAAAAAATCCGTGAGATTGCTCTATACGTCTGTATACCTGCAAAATGACATAAATTCCTTATAACTTACAGACAATCCGTACAAGCTGACATGTATGCGTGGTTTTAGGGGTGGGAGAAACCYSAYCACCCYGWGAAAACTCARGCAAGCARGAGGAGAACATGTAAACTCCACACAGAAAGACCCCAGGTCCGAACCGGGGATCAAACCCAGGACCTTCTTGCTGTGAGGCGTCGGTGCTAACCACTGAGCCGTCGTGCTGCCAACGTTCATCCTGACTCAGCACTTATGATAGTTTGAGTCAAAATTAGAGCTGCAGGATTTGTGGTTTGAGCATCATCACAAAGCGTGTGCAATAATCACACTGCAGGTCCTGAGATGTAGGAGGCAAATTAAATCTACGTGTTCTGTGAACAGAGAAATGGACTCGTGTTGCTGTTTTTATTTTGTCGGGTTGCTTTTCCGAGTTGCTTCGTGTCAAAAAAGCTAAATGTTTCATTTTGTTGTTGAACTTCTGAGACAATAACGGCAGTGAATTCTCGAGCTGTGGAGGAAGACAACGAGGATCTTGATGAAAACCAGGAAGATGAGCAAATTTGCAGAGAACTGAGGGAAAAGAGGTAAAATACYGTTATATTAAAGTGTGACAAAAAGAGAAAATAAACACAGAGGCAAAACGTTAGGTGGTAAAACACGACTCACGTTTGCAAGATGGTGGCAAAACTTAAAGYGTTATTCAAGTCATCTGTTAAAAATTCCTGTATTTTTTCTTACTGCAATATAAATCGCAGGGGCTGGGCATCGAGTCTCGATTGGAACTGGGACGTTACAATTCTCCCTGAATCGTTCAAATTTTTAAATTTCGATTCCTAGTTTTGATACTAGTCTGCAGACTGGAAGAATGAGCCGCCGAACACCGATGAAGAAGAATCTACAAACGGACAGTGTGGCCTAACATTCATAAAAGAATAAGATTCTATTGAGCAAAGGACGGCGCATGACCAACATGATTTAACCCTGCTCAGGGTTCTGTCTTTGAATTCTTAGCTAAGTTCACACAAAGTTTACAGAAATAAAATTATAGGAGAACTTAAGACAATTTCATCCAGAAATAGAAGAGTGGTGGTACAAAACCTGCACAACTGACTGAGTCATAGACATTTCCAAGTTGGCTAATGTGAATAAGCATCCACCTTGAACTGAATTAACTTTAAACATTTATCAGAGATATTTTAACAAACACTGTCACTCAAACAGAAGTAATTACACAATCATCCACCTTTATGTAGTGAGTGATAAACACATTATTGTTTGGTGTTTAATAAAGACAATGTAGATTTTTGAAGCTGCAGTCAGTGCATTACACACAGCAGAAAATCATAAAAAAGTTAAATTTGTACAGAGTCAGTTTATTACAGCTTACAGTACTTACAGACACATTTTACATATAATGACAGAGTTATTGTATCAACATAAAACTCTTTCCTTGAGTTTAATTAAAAGTCATTTACTGCCATCGATGTATCTTACCTTTAGTGACAGCTGCACTGTAGGTTTGGGCCACGAGGGGGCGATCATGTGACCCCTGCTCCAAGATCTCATTGGGGGTCTCGGTACTGCTGTCTAATCTAAAGATAGTGACAAAAAACAATGAACATAAGTCCAACAAAAGCAGCCTTCAGGTTGGAAACCATTAAAACACATGGTTTCTGTGCTCTGCACAATGACAATAAAGGTCTATATTATCTCTTATCTTATAAACTAATTCCTTCTTTATTTCCAAACCACATGCTTTACCTGTGCTGCTTCATGAGCGTGCACTCTCCTCCCTCCTGTGGATCCAAGTTGTACAGGTACAAGTATCCATCAGCTGCAGCAACCAGCAGCCTGGGAATCTTCTGAATCCTTATTTGGAACAGTAAAACAGAGACGCATGAACATCCTGTTAAGAATAAAAGTCTAGTTTTACTGARGCTGACCGGCAGCTGGCAGGACAGCATCCTGTTCATTTGCATTTGTGCAGTTGGGTTACAGTTTACAAACAGGAAGTGATTAATATTTAACAAAAGCAAACAGAAATTGAAAAAGAAAAGAAATGATAAAAAGCTGACCTCAGCAGAAACAGCACATCACTCTAAAGCATGAGCACAGATTTAATCACAGTGAGGTAATAAAAATAAAATAAATACATTTTAAAAGTGAGGTGATGCATTACAGTTTTTTTTCCTTTAATGACACGAGGGAGACTTCTGTCACACATTAAACTTTCTGCGCTACGTCTCTTCTGGTTCCAAACTGCTCGCTTCTCTTCTGAAAGCTGAACGGCTCCATCTGTGGTTTAAAGATGGCCTGGTCTGTGCAGCCATTTCATGGAACTAGTTTAACAAAGAGCCTGAAGTTTAACCCTTTAAACCAAGGAGCAAAATCTAATGTACATCAATGGTTATACTCCTGTGATTAGTAATTACTGAGTAATATAAACACTTTTAAATAAAGGTAAAGATGTTTAAAAGACACAAAATGTAAATAAACACCACTTTGAAATATCATATATAACATCCCAATAGTGGTTTATTAAGGTTCAGGAGCTCATTTGGCAAAAATACCCAGTATTCAGACCTCACAGAGAATAATGTGAACCGCTAATTAATTTTCTGCCTGTTACAATGGAAGGACTCCACGAAGAGTTCCTTCCCTTCCAGCAGGCAACATGGAAGCGAGATGTAAGAAGCAGAAGTATTTTCTGCCAAAAGAACCAGCATTAAATCTTTGATATGGTGTTAATTTATACATTTTGTTTGAGGTTAACTCAGTTTTCTGATGTTTATGTTGGGAGAAAGTGAAGGTCACATCAAAACCTTCTGTTTATATATTTTTAAGTGGATCCTTCAGTTTTCTGAAGCACATTTTGGTTCATTATTGTATTGTAGGGATCTTCTCTTTCACATTATTTATTTACAGATTCTTCTCAAAAAATTAGCATATTGTGATAAAGTTCATTATTTTCTGTAATGTACTGATAGACATTAAACTTTCATATATTTTCGATTCATTGCACACCAACTGAAGTAGTTCAAGCCATTTATTGTTTTAATATTGATATTTTGATAAAAAAGTAAAGAAAAATTAAAAATCCCTATCTCAAAAAATTAGCATTTCATGAAAAGGTTCTCTAAATGACTTATTAACATAATCATCTGAATCAACAAATTAACTCTAAACACCTGTAAATGATCCCTAAGGCTTTTAAAAACTCCCAGTCTGGTTCATTACTCAAAACCACAATCATGGGTCAGACTGCTGACCTGACTGCTGTCCAGAAGGACATCACTGACACCCTCAAGCAAGAGGGTTAAGACACAGAAAGACATTTCTGAATGAATAGGCTGTTCCCAGGGTGCTGTATCAAGGCACCTCAGTGGGAAGTCTGTGGGAAGGAAAAAGTGTGGCAGAAAATGCTGCACAACAAGAAGAGTTGTCAGTCAGTGATGGTCTGYGGTGCCATGTCAGCTGCTGGTGTTGGTCCACTGGGTTTTATCAAGGACAGGGTCAATGTAGCTATCAGGAGATTTTGGAGCACTTCATGCTTCTATCTGCTGAAAAGCTTTATGGAGATGAAGATTTCATTTTTCAGCACGACCTGGCACCTGCTCACAGTGCCAAAACCACTGGTAAATGGTTTACTGACCATGGTATTACTGGGCTCAATTGGCCTGCCAAGTCTCCTGACCTGAACCCCAGAGAGAATCTGTGGGATATTGTGAAGAGAAAGTTGAGAGACACAAGACCCAACACTCTGGATGAGCTTAAGACCCAAGACCCAACACTCTGGATGAGTTTAAGGCCACTATCGAAGCATCCTGGGCCTCCATAACACCTCAGCAGTGCCACAGGCTGATTGCCTCCATGCCACGCCGCAATGAAGCAGTCATTTCTGCAAAAGGATTCCCCACCAAGTATTGAGTGCATAACTGAACATAATTATTTGAAGGTTGACTCTTTTTTTTTTGTATTAAAAACACTTTTCTCTTATTGGTTGGATGAAATATGCTAATTTTTTGAGATAGGTATTTTTGATTTTTCTTTACTTTTTTGCCAAAATCATCAATATTAAAACAATAAAAGHCTTGAACTACTTCAGTTGGTGGGCAATGAATCTATAATACATGAAAGTTTAATGTTTATCAGTACATTACAGAAAATAATGAATTTCATCACTATATGCTAATTTTTTAGAAGGACCTGTATACAGATGATTGTGTAGAAAATTCACTGAGATTTAAGCAGTTCTTTCCTCTGCCAGCACGTCTTGCATGACACCAGATACAAGCTCAAATGATGATCCATCCATTGATGTGCTCAACAGCTCCAGAAGTTTTTGTTCTATTCTTTTTAATGCAAATCTTTACTGGTTTTCTCCAAATATATATTTACTCTCTTTATTTCATTAAAAATGTAAGAAAGTAATCCTTCATCTTTCTCTTATCTGGGTATAAGTTTATCTTACAGACTACAGTCACACTGCAGGTCTTAATGCTTAATTTAGATTTTTTGCTCAAATTAGATTTTTTTTTGTGGACGTTCACATTAAATTTTAAATGTGACCTCCATCAGACTCCAGCGTGAACTCTCTTCAGCACCGATACGACCCACATGCGCAGAAGAAGACCTGACATCAGGTTCCGCTCACTGCTTACAGGAGTAAACGTGGACGCTACATGTTAGCATGCTGATTCTGAAGTTCTGCAGAACTGGATTCTCTGGGGCAGTGTGTATTTATGGAATCAGAGTGAACCGCTGGAAGTAAAGGCCAGTAAAACCCAAACTGATGTTTGTGATGGCGTGTTCATGCTCACACAGCTAAGGCGCAGATGTTTTTGTGCCCGCAGAAAGGCAGGCGAACTGTGGCGAAGGCTCGGCCRTGGGTGAACATCTCTGTGACCTGCGACGGCAGGTAGGTGGTGGACGCCATCAGGACCTTCCCCAAATACCCTCCCCATGTGGTGGGTTCCTCTGCTGGCCTGAAAACACACACACACACACACACACACACACACACACACACACACACACACACACACACACACACACACA